AGACTCTATCTCAAAAAAAAGACCTAAATTCTTATTTTTCATACTAGAAATCTATAGGTAATATCTGAAGCTTAAAAAAAATTTAAAACTGTATAAGTACTTAATTTAGAAATACAGAATTAATAGCAGAAGAAATAACTGAACATATTTAGAAGTGATTCCTTCTTGGTGGCACCTGTAGCTCAAGCGGCTAAGGTGCCAGCCACATACACTAGAGCTGGTGGGTTCAAATCTGGCCCAGGCCTGTCAAACAATGGCAACTACAACCAAAAAATCTCCAGGCATTGTGGCGGGTTCCTGTAGTCCCAGCTACTAGGGAGGCTGAGGCAAGAGAATTGCTTAAGAGTTGGAGGTTTCTGTGTGCTGTGATGCCAGGGCACTCTACCCAGGGTGATAGCCTGAGGCTCTGTCCCCCCCCCACCACAAAAGTGATTCCTTCTGGGGAGTTGAAATTGTCTTATGTGTGGAAGTGTGGTGCAGGAGAGATTGTTACTTTTCATTACATGCCTTATAAAGCTGTCTACTTTTAGAATTCTGAATGTTATACTTAGGAAAAAAGTTAATTTTAAATAAAACATTTCAACAAAAAACTTAAGTCTTCTAAACAACTTGATCTTCTTTTTCTCTAGTGGCAATATGATCACCTCACAGCTACCTATCTTCTGCTTCTAACCAAGAAGGCTCGAGGAAAACCAGTTCGTTTAAGGCTTCCTTCTTTTTCCTGTGGACAAGTCAGTGCTTCCCCATTCATAGATATCAAGGTAAATGTTAGTGTCTTTTGTGTGAAAACCTACTGGTATTGCCTGCCTGGATACCCCACTACCTGATGTCAAGGAGCCAGGGGCAAAACATTGTATGGCTTAGACATTTTTGATGAGAAAAATGGGAAGTTCTGAATTTGAGCTCTTAAAATTTGGGATGTTAAGATGACAGTTTATAAATATCCCCCCATTTTATTTTTATAAAAGCTATTTTATAGAAAAACTTTAAGCCACAGATGAACTGAAAGGAAAATAGAATTTATTATCTTTAGATAAGCCTTTAGATTACCTTTAGGTGATATAGTTAATATTAATGATGTCTTTCTAGTATTTTTTTTTTTTAGTGTACTTGTTGATATAATTTATGTGCATTCAAGTACTTTCAAAGGATATGGTATTATTGAATTGTGGAGAAAAATTCAAAAATTTGTTGGGAATAAGATATGTGAATATAGAGTAGGTTATACTTTATATGACATGAAATGTTTTGATATTTATATTAAGAGTATAGATTTTGGGGCAGCGCCTGTGAAGTAGGGCGCCGGCCTCATATGCCAAGGGTGGCAGGTTCAAAACCCAGCCCTGGCCAAAAAACTGCAAAAAAAAAAAAGAGTATAGATTTTTGTCTGTTTTTAAATTTGTATTGTTTTCTTGAGATTGGGCAGTTTTCATATTTATTTCTGTGTTTCTTCCTGTGTTTTTGTTTTGAGCAGTAGCTGTAACTCATTTAACTAAAATTCCTTGTAAGAGATATAGTTATAACCAAATTATTTTTCTCTATTTTGTTGTCTCAATTTGGACATGGGCTTTTAGAGTGGTGGAAAAACATTAGATATTGGAAGCACTGTCATTCCTAAATGCTTTCATTAGTTTCTGTTTTCTGTGTGATTCTTTGTATCTCCCATGGCTTAAAATTTGGCTATTCAAGGCTCAGCACCTGCATATAGCACAGTGGTTACAGCACCAGCCACATGCACTGAGGCTGGCAGGTTCGAGCCCAGCCCAGGCCAGCTAAACAACAATGACAACTGCAACAAGAAAATAGCCAGGCATTGTGGCAGGTGCCTGTGGTCCCAGCTACTTGGGAGGATGATGCAAGAGAATTGCATAAGCCTAAGTGTTTGAGGTTGCTGTGAGCTGTGTGATGCCATGGCATACTCTATATTTGAAGAGCGACATAGTGAGACTGTGTCTCAAAAAAAATCACCTATTCAGGCTCAAGTGGCTAAGGCGCCAGCCACATACACCTGAGCTGGCAGGTTTGAATCCAGCCCAGGCCTGCCAAACAATGACAGTTGCAACCAACAAATAGCCGGGTGTTGTGGCAGGCACCTGTAGTCCCAATTACTCAGGAGGCTGAGGCAAGAGAATCTCTTTAGCCCCGGAGTTGGAGGTTGCTGTGAGCTGTGATGCCACAGCACTCTGCCCAGGGTGACAACTTGAGGCTCTGTCTCAAAAAATAAAAAAACATATCTGATAAACGACTTGTGTCTAAAAAGAAAAAAATCGCCTGTTCAAATACTTTGCCAGATGGCTATGGAACTTCATAATATAATCTTCCTGATTAATTTGGTTTATAATTTAAGAGATTTTAGCACTAGGGAACTCTACTTTTGTTTTCTTCAAATAGAAGTTGGTCCTCTTTCTTTTCCTTTTTTTTTTAGAGACAAAGTCTCACTTTATCACCCTTGGTAAAGTGCTGTGGCATCACAGCTCACAGCAACCTCCAACTCCTGGGCTTAGGTGATTCTCTTGCCTCAGCCTCCTGAGTAGCTGGGACTGCAGGCATCGGCCACAACACCCAGCTATTTTTTTGTTGTTGTTGTAGTTGTCTTTATTGTTTAGCAGGCCCAGGCCGAGTTCCAACCTACCAGCCTTGGTTGGTGTATGTGGCTGACACCCTAACCACTAAGCTACGGGCACTGAGCCAGGTATAATGGAGTCTTATATCCCTGCCAGTCCTAACCTGCTTTCCTCCTTCTCTCCTTAGTTGGTCTTTTGACTAAACAAAGAATTAAAAATTAGTGCAAATGGCTGTTTTGTTGAGAAGTCTCTGAAGGAAAATCTCTTGTTTTGGGGATGGTTTTCTAGTCTGTTCCTGGAAAGTTTTATTAGGCTAGTGAATACCCCATGCCCAGGCAGATCTTATACATGAGCTCTATGAAGCAGCTCGTCACCCATTCTGCTCACATTGCCAAACCTTACCGTGAACTCAGCTTCTAATTGAGGTATTTTTAGAAAGGTATTAGATACCGCTATACTTAGGATAATCACTTTAGCTAAAATTTTAAAATTTATAACACTTCAGTTAAGAGGTTAGAGATATTTTCCTGAGCCATTGGATTTTCTTATATCTGAATTGGCCTTGTCTCAGTGGATCTGCCTATATGATTTATAAAGTATCCAAGTGGAAAATATCTGAGAAGATATTTACTCTTTATCTTCCACCTACTGCATAATAAGTATTTACCTAATAACTTAATTATTTGGGCAGTCGTATTAATAAATCAGTTTTTATTGCTGATCAAGAGACATTTTATTTTTATTTTTTGGAGACAGAGTCTCTCACTTTGTTGCCCCCAGTAGAGTGCCATGGCATCACAGCTCACAGCAATCTCAAACTCTTGGGCTTAAGCGATTCTCTTGCCTCACGCCTCTATAGGCGTGTGACACAATGCCTGGCTAATTTTAGAGATGATGTCTTACTCTGGCTCAGGCTGATCTCCAACCTATGAGCTCAAGCAATCCATCATCTTTGGCCTCCCAGAGTGCTGGAATTACAGGCGAGAACCACTGCGCCTGGCCCAAGAGACATTTTAACGGCAGAATTGAAGTAGAAATAAAAGTTTGGGTTCTTTTCTGATCATTATGCAAGTTATTGAGACTTAAAGGATGCCACATAGTCTCTTTGTACTGTTTTCCCCCTTGACAGAATCACCCTTTTCCTCTGAGGTGTTGTTTATAAAAGTATAAAAAAAGGAAGTAATCCTGAACTACCAATCAGTAGATGCCACTTTCAGTGAAACAGTTATTCAGTCAGATCCAAGAATCACAAAAGACCACAACATCTTCAGCATCATTAGCATTTTCAGGCCCTGTACTAGTCTTTGGGAACAGGTAAGTGTAAAGTGAGGTACTTGGTCTCTAACAGTCAAGTTGAGATATGACACACACACACACACACACACACACAATCTTTAGGGCGGGATAAGTGGAATTAGCAAATTCAGAGACACCTAATTGTACTTGATAAATGTAGTATTTTCTTGACAGTGGCTAAACTTGGTTAAAGAGAGTTCAAGCAGAGGAAGGATAATAGAGGGAGAGAGAGCAAGTGAGCTGGAAGGGTACGCAAGAGCTAGATTGTGGCAAACCTAGAAATGCCATACTGGAGTTTTAGACACTGTGCTGTAGGTAATGGGAACTGTTGATGTTTGAACAAGAGAGAGAGGCATGACTGATTTTGAAAACTTCATCCTATGGTGTATAGAATTGTCAGACAATTATTGTCAGATAATGTGTATGCTGGCAGTCCCTACTGCAGTACTAGTGACAGCCCTCACTCATGCAACACTGTACTTTCCCCACAGAGCATAGACTCAGCGTTAGGATTTTTCTTAGCATGGCACTCCACGCTGCCAGTTCTAATCCATGGTAATTGGCAGTCCTAGAGAATTCAGTCATCCCTGGTGAAGAGGGTGGAAAGATTAGGGGCAGAGACCATACTGATTGTTTGAATAGTTCAGGTATAAGAAGATTTGTCCTTGAACTAGGATATTAGCAAGGGGACTAGAAAAGGGTAAGGTATAAGAAATTCAAGTAAAATTACTTGGCCTGGTTAACAAGATGTTCAGAGAAAAGGAAGGAAGAAGAAATTAAAAAATCTAAGTATATACTCACAGTCTTGAATTCAGGTCTAGTATACCCTTTATAAACATAAAAGGAGGAAGTGCCGGGCATGGTGGTCACAGCACTCCAGGAGGCCGAGGTGGTGGATTACCTGAGCTCAGGAGTTTGAGATCACTCTGAGCAAGAGGGAGACCCTCATCTCTAAAAATAGTCAAGTGTGGCTTGGTGCCT